TATGAATAAGTTTACTATTTTTGAACTGGATTTCATTACACTTATTAGTTTTTAATTAAGCAGAATATATTTTTTGTTTTGTACATGTCCATCGCTTAACGTCATTGGCTAAATCTTTTTGGAATCCAAACTTAAAACCATCACAAATTTAAATTGTTTTGCCTTTTTCACTAATAACACTAATAACGTTCATTTTTATAACACTGTGTAATTGTTATTTACGAAACTGACGGTGATAACGGGCTATATTCTTTAACTGATAATCAGTGATCGAAAAGATTTTTGCATTTGGCAAATTAATCTGCCTGGGAAATACTGTATGTCTTAAAATAATATTTTTGAACATTATGGAAATCGATAGTAAAAACTATCGATAATCTAAGTATACTATGGGAGGCAATTCGAGTAGACTTTAGCCACTAAAGTAATGATAGGTTTTTTACATAACTGATAAATTCATTGTATATTTTATTATATATTTATTGAATATTTTAGAATATTAAAATAATATAAAATACAATGCATATTTAACTATTTTATTACGCGTAATATTAATAAAATATACTTAGTTGGTATAATATTGGTTGATAAATTATCTCGACTCAAAATTGTTTTTTGTATGCAATGTATTGTCATTGAATTTAAATTTAACACATCCATTACACTATAACAACGACTTAGCTTCCTACTTAATGACAAGATACACTCGGAAGTTACTCTAGTACTCTACAATAAAGTGGTTACGTACTTGCCGCTTTTTGAACATATATTCTAGCAGTGTAGATACATTTTTATCCGAAGCTTACTTATAACACCTACCATTGATTATAATCACTATTAATAAATTTTTACCATTGCTAGTACCTATATATGTAGGTAGATCATGTGATTCATGAATTAACGTTAAAGTATGAATTGGGCGTCGCMGGTCTATTAAATTTATTAACCTACTAAATTTAATATCATTTGTATTTTGTTAAAACAGTATTGAAAAGTACCAACTCTAAAAAATAAATTAAAACGTTTGAATTATTTTAGGAAAGAACACAATACCTGCAATGACATGAAAGCTGATRATTTAGAAAAAGAACCATTAACTGAACCACCTATTTACAATTTCGTATCATCAAGTGTCAATCCAGTGACATGGGGAGAATTTTCGACGTTGAACAAAAAATATGGATTTGAAGTGCCTTCTGTAAAAGCGGTACGCGGTTTATTTAACTTAATAACAGTTATATAGATTAAAAATTGTTGCATTTAACTGGATGAAAAAAAATTTTTAATTTTAGATCTCACCAATTCTATTGAGATTATCCAAAAACAAATACGAATACCAAATTTTATGTTTAATTCTCCACATCATACCTGCATTTATACTTGATTCTTTAGCCAAAATCGTCGGAAAGAAGCCTCTGTAAGTGACACTTGAAAAATAATAATTATTTTTTTATCTATAATAATTATTTTTTTATCTATAATAATTACCTATTGATAAATATGTGTATACCTTCTTATTATAATATAATATTATAATGAATATTTTTTGATTTTTAGATTAATGGAAGGATATAGAAAACTGCACAAGTTCTCCGAAGTCATATCCTACTTCAGTTTAAAATCGTGGACATTCAAAGATAATAATACGAGGTCTTTGATACAAAAGTTATCCAAATTAGATCAAGCACTTTTCAGATTCGATCTTACCAAAATGAGCTGGAATGAATACTTCAAAAAACACGTAATAGGTATTCGAACGTATATTTTAAAGGATCCAATGGAAACGTTATCAGAAGGAAAAAAAAGGAATCTAAAGTCAGTAACCAATATTTAACATAAATTACTTATTGACAAAGATTTTATTATTGTTATTTTATTTTCAGATTATATATTGCATACTACACATTATTATCCGTTTTAGCGGTGTCATTACTATTAATACTGTACGGAATTTGTAATTTATTTATATAACAAAAAAATTAGTGTTAACTATACTAGAATCTCATATTTATTTTATATAATATTGTACGATAAAATCTAATTATCATATTAATAATTTTTCTTTATTTTAACTATGTCTACATAATATTATAKTGAGCATTTATAATTTTCCTTTTTACTTTTTTTGATGTCTACATTGATTTACTTGTTACTTAAAAATATATATTTAAAAAAAAATTTAAACCCTGTGTATAGCTAATGAATATGTTGTATATAAATAATATGTTTTTTTCCTGTCTGTCTTCGACATTTCTAATAGTAAAAATCTAAAATTTTTGGTAGGTATCAACATATTTTCTAGTAGGAAAGTGAAACTAGCGGTACTTTTATGAGGGCAAAATTGAAAATTCCTAATAGTTTCTGAAAGCATCTTTTTCATTAATGAAAACCTAACCTTCAGTTTCATTAATTGAAGGTAGTTTGAGGTCGGAATTTAAGGTCTTGTTTGAGACGAATCCGGGTGTACCTACCGCTGACATATTTTTGGAATACCTGTATGGCCCTTTTATTTGTGGTCTTAGCAAAACCCCATATTATGTCCATATTATATTGGTTGAAATAGAGTTTCTTACAAAATGATTTTTATGGGTATGGTTAGGTTAAAACGAAGTAGTGACTTTAACAGATGGAGTCTGGAATTTAGTTTCTTATGCTTATCTTAAAGATAACAAGACCAGGTTAAGCGCCTGTCGAATGCAAGACCAAGGTATTTAACTTCATTCGAGGGGAGTATGATGATATTGTTAAAAAGTAACAAAGAAAGACTTGGATTGAATAACAATTTTAATTATATTGTAATTTAAAAATATTATTCATGGGTAGTTAATATCATTAATGACTTTTACTAATGGGTAGGTACTTTATAGTATACTAGCTCTCCGATCTAGTTATAATATGTTGTACCAAATGGCAAATATACTATGAACGACTATGACTGAATATGTCAGATACATATATAATGAATATGATTTGATTAATTTAGAATTTATTTTATTGCTACCTACCTTATAATAACAATATAATTAATATAATAATATACCTAGTAGATATAAAATATCCTAGTATGTCAACCCGTCTTCCTCCAGAATCGTTTTTCGTATACAATGATATTATATCATTGAATTCAAATTTAAAACCAACCATTACAGCAGAGGTTTTCAAAGTGTTGTTGTGGGGGAGGGAGAGGGAGTGAAAGCTTTATAGAGAGGGTGCAAGACAATTTTAAAATCAACATTGTATTGGTAGGACAGAAAAAGATTTATGGAATTTGGSTGAAAATAATCGCATCCTGTATAGTGTGTATAATTCCGAATTCGGTATATTTATAGAATCAYGTACAGGCAGCAACAATYAACACGAGCCATCATCTATAAAAGGTTTGTTATTTTATCCATAAAATCGATAAATTGGCCGTAGATTTTAACTTTTTAGTACTATAAGCATGACTATTAAAATTATATTTATGAGGGAGCTCACGTCTGGGGTTGACCAAAGTGGGGAAGGGCTGACTTAAAAAGTTTGAGAACCTCTGCATCACAGTAAACCACTTGTAACCTAAGCTACTGTACAGCAGAGCGACATCAACATACCCAATTTTTTTATTTTTTTAACAGTATTTGATTTTTTGTGTAAAGTTTTGCATTAAGATAACCCGGTACCTACACTATAAATTATCATTCAATAAAAATTTTTTTTTGGATTTAAAGTTCTGGAGATAGTAGACTGCCGCKGCCGTCTGTTTTGTGTATTCYGACTGACTGAACAATTTTTTCTAATTTATTTATTTTTGCTTCTTGAAATATAAATTATACCCGTAAGTTACCTACATTATTTTCATTACCTAACTGAATTTGAG